AATGTTTAACTATTTATAATTAATAAGTTGGTATAAAGATGCAGTAGCGAGCTTAGAACAACCTCTGCCTCAGCTTAAAATTTATACTTTGCATACTTTTAGTACTTTACCAGTAGTCTGGTGCAACTGCATATAAACTTTGTATCGAGCATGCTTTATAAAACGTGGCCATTACATTTGACGAGAAACACATTTAGAAATCTTGCAAAACAGCATGCATGCATATTCAAGTTTAGTATTTCAAGAGTTTATACATACTAGACACATTTTATAATAACATAAATATTCATAGTATGACAAATGATTTTGTTCTTTTTTTTTTCTTTTTTTTTTATTTTTTCATTAAAACTTTTTTACCACTTAGTTTAGTTTTTTAAATCTTGTATTTTTTCAATACAAAAAATGCCATAATCCACTTTAATCGTTTAGTTTTTAATTTAATCAACAGTATCATTTGTCATAATCCACATTTATTTATGCCATAATCCACTTTTATTTGGTCAACTTATTTGACTTCAATAACTTTTTTGCTTTTAATGTCAGTGTTTATATGTAACTGTACAAAAAATTACTGTTCAGTAGACAAACATATAAATTTAACTTATTTTGTTAAATTTTCAAATAATATTTTTTGCATAATTTAATGTAGCCTGCCAATATTTTTAAAATTTTTTTAAAAGTTATGTAATGGTTTAACACGATGTTTTATTAGAGTTTCGTAATAAAAAAATATATCAGTCTCCTCCAAACTATGGTTGAAACAAAACAAGAAAACAAAATTTCCTCAGAGCTCATATAAATATAAGTTATTTTTTATATAAGTTATTTTTTCATATAAGTTTTTTACATATAAGTTATTTTTTCAATCAGTACAAATTTTCTTTTTTGAAAAACTCTATTGTTTAACTCTTTATAATAAACATGTAAATGAATTTATAAACAAAGTTTATAAATTCATTTACTTCGCCAGTAGTCTGGTAAAACTGCATTTAAACTTTGTATGCCAGAGTGCTTTGCTATTAGTCTGGTAAAACATACTTATATAAACTTTGTATTTGAGTATGCTTTAATGTCAAGAGCATATTTTTAGAGAAACACATTTGTAATTTTTCAAATTTACTTCGACACATTTTTTATTTTTGTTTCTTTAAATGCGAGTTTCCACTCATCCGTTTTTTAACGGGAACGGGATAGGAAAGGAAAAAAAACAATCACGTGAGCATGCGTAATAAAAGTTTTTATTTGTCCGAAAGAAAACTGCGTATGCTCACGTGATTATTTTTCCGTTTCCTTTCCTTTTCTTGTAGAAAAACGGATGAGTGGAAACTCACCTTAAATTAACAACAAATAAAATCTTCATCACCAAGATAAACTTTATTGAAACTTTGAAATTTTTATGAGTGAAAATTCTCTTGTACAAATAGATTTTGATACATTTATTATTTTAATATTTACATTAAATACTCTGAAGAGTACTAAAATAAAATAAATTTCCTGTGTTGATAGTAACACATGACTTGTGCTGATAAATTTAGTTTATCATTTCTTTAAAATTTATTTCGAAAATCTGGTTGTTTTAAATTTAATTATATTTTTCAACAAAATCGCACTTTTAGTTACATTTTTTTTTCGAAATCAGCGAATCAGATTGCTCATATTTCTACCTATTCTGAGCCTGTATAGGGTTTCAAAATATGCCAACGGTTCAAAAGGCCCAGTAATCATCCGGACTCCCCTAAGAATTTTCTAAACTGTTTAATTGATTAAAACAGCAGGCATTTTAACTTCTTTGTAAAGTACACTGTGCTGTAACATATGATATGTAAGTAATTACCCTTCAACATCAATTTTTAAGAACTATATTTAGTAATAGTAATCCATTTTTTTTAATTGCTTGATTTGTTCAGCTAGAATCCGATTTTTTTAAATTTTTCTTAAAAGTTGTAAGTACACTAGGGTTGTTAACCGGAGGATTTCGTGCAATTCCGGAAAAACAACATTCTTTCGTAAGGAGATTGAGAACACGGAATTACATTTTTTCGTACCGAATGTTACGAAACATTTAAAATCGCCGATGTTCATTTCGCAAAAGCCACTTCCGAAATTTAGCATTTCGCAAGTTGACATACGAAACAAAACTATTTTGCAACATACGAAAGTAGCGGTTTCGGAAGTCGCACTTGCGAAACAAACATTTTTGCCAAACGACGTTTTGAAGTCTATAAAGAAAATTTGTTTGCCAGACTGATTTTAATTGTAAAAATTAACATCTTTAAATCCCAAAATGTTTATAATGAATTTTTATTTTCAGTAAAATAACTTATTAAATTTTTACGGTTTTATTTTTAGAAATATTGATAAAAAATAAAATTTCTTTCGAAACGAAAGTATTTCGGATCACAACATACGAAAGAATTCTTAACGGAAATAAACTTACGAAACGTGCCATAATAAATATATACAACGATGTTTTTTGAACTCATTACGTATATTAAAAATAAGAATGACGGGTAGGAATATACATGTTTTTTTTTAAAGCATATGAAATTTTTGAAACAGGTTCGAATATGCTTAAGCAAATAGTAAAAAGAGGCTCAAAAATATGCTTTAGCTTAAGCATATTTCTGATAAAATATACCTATTTCAATTATTTTTAAAAGTGTGCACGTTACTAAAATTCTAGCAGATTTTAAAGGTATGTAGAGTCCTGTTTGAATACGCTTTTCAAAGTATAGATCATAGAAAATATTGTTTTTTAATTTTAATAAGATATAAATTTGAGTATAAGATTGTATAGTTCAATCAGTTAGATACGTGATAATTCGCCGCAGAGATTCGGGTTCGCATCCCGCAGCCATTGTAACTTTTGTTCATCAAACTCTTTTTACTTAAGATAGCATTTTTTATGTTTTACATGTTCTATATTACAGATCTTTCGTCGCCTTCACAATAGTGACAACCTCTCTTCTGTTAGTTATTCTTTTAAGATTGAGTTCATTGTGCATAATTTAACACGTTTCCCTTGCTTTACTAAGTTCTACTTAAATTATGATGAAATGTACGTAAAACAATTTTTTCAAATAATATAATTCATTTTGCTTTAAATCTTTTGCTTTTTGTACTAGACATCTGTCCTAAGTACTTTGTAATAATTTCTAGCTAACTCTGAGTCTAATATAACCATTTCTGAATATAATTTCCCTGAGGCTCATACAGCCTATTGTGTTCCATTAAAAGTATCTAGTTTTTGAGTCCAGATATTAATTATAAGCATCTAAAAAGGTTCACATTACTATTCATTTTCCTGATATATAGAATCCTATATGCATACGTATCTCTTTCTGTAAATTCTGTTTTATATAGTTTCAAATTATATATTAAATAAATATTACTATTCTCTTAGTTGAATGAACGTATAGCTCATTCAGTTAAAACATTTGGCCGCGTAGACCCAGGTTCACATCCCGCTGTTTCACATATATTTCTTCTCTTTTTACTCTTTCTGATATCATTTACCTTTAGAGAGATCTCTCGTTCTTTATAATAAAGTATTTAATTGTTTATCACACATCCTCTTTATACTTTTTAAAAAGAAAGGCATACTGTTTATCTATTCATTGAGAGTTAAACTTAACGGGATTTTACTGTATATATAAGTATATATTTATATATATATATATATATATATATATATATATATATATATATATATATATATATATATATATACATATATATACAGTAAAATCCCGTTAATGTATATATATATATATATATATATATATATATATATATATATATATATATATATATATGAATATATATATATAAATATATATATATATATATATATATATATATATATATATATATATATATATATATATATATATATATATATATATATATATATATATATATATATATGTATATATATATATACACATATATATACAGTAAAATCCCGTTAATGTATATATATATATATATATATATATATATATATATATATATATATATATATATATATATATATATATATATATATATATATATATATATATATATTAGGTATATTTGTATAAACATTTGAAGAATCATTTGACAACATTTTTTTATAATTTTATTATCTATTATTTGAACTGTTAACGGTTAATATCTTAAATATATCGTAACATAAAATCTTTTGCGTCTTTTTCGTAACTACACATTCCGGAATGCTTTTTCCGTAAGGAACTATTTCGTAAGTATTCTTACGAAATGATTTGTTTCGCAAGTTTTCTTTCGCAATGCTTTATTACGGAATTTTATTTATTTATATTTTCGTATAGCGCGTTACGGAATGTGCATTTTCGCATGTGCAACTTCCGTAATTACAATTCTATTACGGTAGATAAAAATGCGAAATTTTCGCAAGTTTTGTTTTTCGGCGAACAACCCTAAAGTACACTGCTTATTTATAAAATAAATGCTAAGGCGAGTTTCCACTCATCCGTTTTTCTACGGGAACGGAAAAGGGAACGGAAAAATAATCAAGTGAGCATGCGCAGTATTCCTTCAGACAAATTAAAACTTTTATTACGCATGATTTCATGATTATTTTTTCCTTTCCTTTCCCGTTCCGTAGAAAAACGTATGAGTGGAAACTTTTCTTTAGAACAAGTTTCAAATGTTTTCAATAGAAGAATGTAACTCATTTTGTTCAGTGCAATAAAAAAAAAATTCAAATTAATTTTTTTTTGACGAATGTTAATGAAAGATTTCGAAACCAACTCTTGCATACTTGTACTATTATACTCCCAAAATTTTTTCTCGGGAAATAGGTTGGAATTAAAAGTCATTTCGTAATATAGCTGTACAAAGCGGTAATACCGCATGTACAGCGCTACAGCAGTAGCTGCATTGCCACTGCTGTACAGCAGAATGCGTACAGTATAGTGGCAATGAAGGCGCGCGAAATAAGGAAAATATTTCCTCAAAAAAATGAAAATATTCTAATCTAATAAACTGTTTTATTTTTCAAAATAAAAAGCTATTACTATATACATGAAAATAGCAAGTTAAATTCATTTTTCTTTTGTTCGGAATAAATCTTAACGGAGTCAAACTATAACTTTTCTCTAATTTTCTTAGTTATTTTGTTTTAATTTAATTTAAAGTTTTTTTTTTTTTTTTTTTTTTGTTTCAAATATTTGCTATGAGAAAGTTGTCATTTTATTTTAGGATCAGAGCTCATAAAAATTAGATACAATAAATACAAAGTTTATAAGAAACATGAAAGATTTTCAAGTACCCAGGCAGAATTTGTTCTCCTTTTTTGTTTGAAGGTTTGTTTAAGAATTTGATTACATTTTTTGTTGCAATAAAAAAGCTTCTTGTTCATCTGTTGAATCAGCATACATTTTTGAATGAATTTCATGAACGAGAGGAGCCACATCTTCTGGACAACCATAGTCAATTGAAAAATTAAAATGTTTCTAAAAAAATTGATTTAATATTTATAATACTAATATACAATGCTATTTTAATTTTGTACTTTAAACTAAAATTATTTTTATTTATTTTCAAAACAAATGTTTTTATTATTTTAAAAAGCTTTTTTTATTCCAAGGAATAATATCAACTTTTTCTGTTTGATTTAATTTTTAATTATTTAAAATTTAAAATTTTATTTAAATGGAGATAAAAATGCAATCACAGCAAAAAAGCATTATAAATGAAATAATAATCAATAATTTTACCTCTTGCAGAATTTTTTTTTCTGAGTTTAGTTTTCTAAATAGTATAACATAAATTTTAAGAAAATTGTATTTAAGTTGAATATTTCTTACACTTTATCTATTATATATTTTTTTATTAATGTTTTTAGCATATTTTATTATTTTTTATTTAAACTCGCTTACTTGTCAGAAAGAATTTGATACGAAGCATAAGAAAACACCATTCCAACCAAGGCTAAAGTTGTAGCAATAATCACGGATAAATGAAACCAACCTACGACTTTCTTTTTAGGTAATACACTTTGATTAGAGATTGATAATAAACTTGATTTATTATTCAAATCATGGAGTAGATGTGTACTAAATTGTTGTGGAGGCAGGATAGGCTCCGTGAGTGGCGAGGAAGAAAATAAATTTTTTGCAAACTTCTTTATTATTTGATTTTTTTGTATTTCACTAATTGGTGGTTTCGTAGAAATGTCAGCATCTTCAAAGTGCAGCATTGATGTTGAAATACCAGCATCTTCAAAGTGCGGCATGGGTTTTGAAATACCGGCATCTTCAAAGTGTGGCATAGATGTTAAAATACCAGCATCTTTAAAGTGAGGCATAGGTAAATCTTAAAAAAAAAATTATTACTAATGATTTAAATGTCTAAATAAGTTAATTTTAACAAATAGGTACCTATAGTAAGCGAATTGTCCTTATCACTATCAAATTTTTGTCAACACCGTTAATATAAAACCATTATTTAAACATTGTTGTAATTTGTTATACCATCTTATAATTATTGCACCACTTTTTGCACTACGTGTACTACAAAGTTAAAATGGTTTCTGTCCTATAATTTCTGTTTTGTAAAATTACTATTCTAATTACTACACTACTATCTGTGTTATCAAGAAAACAAAAACTCGAGGAAAATCGTATGAAAAAAAACTTGCAAAGACGAAAATAAATACAAAAGTTATTAAAACCTTTTTGAAAAAAACAAAAAGCTAAAAAAATTGTAATTTGAATCTTTTGAAAAATAACACTGCAAATAATAAAAAAACATGGAATGTTTTAAAAAAGTAATAGGGATAGAAAATATTGATTTAGATAATACCCTTACAAACCATTTAAATACTGATGATAAAAACATCGTTGTTAATGATCAAAAAAACATTGCTAAAAGCTTTAACAATCATTTTTTTAAACATCGAAGGACACTAAATAAGAAAATAACTCATAGAATATTTAAATGATATTTAAAAGAAGTGGACTTTTTAATGGAGAAGTTTGACATAACTTCTTCATAGAGTTAACGAGTTTCAAAATGCTTTTAAAAAGAGTCCGGGTCTTGATGACATAATCTTTCAGGTGGTTAAAGAGGTTTATGATGTCGTTCAATATCCTCTACTGTATATTATACAACATAGTAGTGGTGTAGTGGTAAAGCGCTCGCTTCATAAGCGAGGGGTTCGGAGTTCGATCTCCACCATGTCCCGTCTTGTTCTGCGCTCAACTTGTTTCTCATCGCAGCGGCTTTGTTCGTCAAGGCTCATGTTTCGGAGTTATGGAGTTGAGAGAGGGTTAAAATAAAGCACAACTAAGTAGCCTCCTCGCCTGTTGTGACCTTCTCGACTTTGGGGAGGTGAATTAAAATAAAAATAAAAAAATATCTTTATTTTCTCGCTAAAAAATGTAGTTTTTCTAAACACTTAAAACTAGCACACCGAGTTTCATTATTTGCGAGTTTAAGCATATAAGCGTTATCTCAAGGCAGTTGTAGGAATACAAAAGAACTTCTCGTAAATAATTAAAAAGCCTTCCTTTGTAAAGCATCGCGTTTAAAACGTACCCTATAAATCTTATTTCTTACCACCGCTTAAAACGCACGTTACATGCATAATTAATGAGTTTAAAACTCATACTTTTGTTTTGAATGATTTGCTCTAATATTTTTGAGGTTAAACTCCCAATGTCATCTTTAAATTTAAAGTAAACGTTGATGCAGAATTTCTAGTAAGATTGCTTTGATCGTTTATAGAGCAGATTTGTTTAGAATTGTTTTTGGAATTGCTTTTAAAACTATTTTTAGAAATACTTTTAACTTGAAATTAATTTCATGTTCAAAGTTTTTCATGCTTAACGTTTTATAAATTTGCCGTTGTAACAAACTTGCTAGCGCTCTTATTAACACTACCTAGAGATAATGCGTGCATGCTTAAACTCACTAGTCAAAAGCAGAAACAACTTTACTTTATTAAATTATTTACCTCTCTTTGTACTTCCGTGCTTCTCAAAAGTACTAGACCGCATAATATAAAGCAAACTTTTTACATAGCTCTAAAATATATATTTTTTAATAACCAATACGGATTTAAAAAAAACCAATCAACTGAACATGCAGCAATAAAATTAAGTAAAGAAATCTTGCATGGATTTCACAAAAACCAATATAAACTTGGAATATTTATCAATCTGTCAATGGTTTTCAATACAGTGGATCACGAGATCCTTTTGCAGGAACTTAATAGCTATGATATAAAAAATAAAAGTTTAAAATATTTAGCTGCTATCTAAACAATCCAGAAAAAGCCTTATATAACAATAATACTTATACCAACGAAATATTTGCATCTTTTAGTATACTAAACTTCATTCTTTTTTGAAGATAACAGCCCAGCTTTCTAATGCCACTCAAATATTAATACTATTTTTAAAATACAGTAAATCAGGACCTTGAAGAGTTAAACGATTGGTTGAAAGCCAACATACTTTCCTTAAACATCGAAAAAAAGAAATACATTTTTTTCACTAAACCAAAAAGTCAGACACATTTCCAATAAACCTTACAGATATTTTAGTTGACAAAACAAAATTGAAAGGAGCGTTTTCTGTGAAGTTTCCAGGAATAATACTAAATGAGCATATTAGCTCTAAAGAGCACATTAAATTATTAGAAAATACAATATCTAAAAGCATTAAGATTATGCATAAAACTAAATATATTTTAAATATTCTAAAAGGTTTATACCTTGCATTTGTTCATAGCTACATTAGCTACTGTAATGTTACCTGGGCAAGTATTTACCAATTAAAACTAGTTTTATTCTATAAAAAATAATAGCAAGCATACCTTATACTAACAAATGCTAATTGATACGCTAGTACTAAACAATAAATGAGAGTACTTCTTTAGTTTATGTTTAAACTAAAAAATAATTTGGTCCCCAAAACTTTGAACTTAATGATCACCAATACGAAACGAAACATTTTATCCAGAATTACAATATTCCAAAAACCTCTTTGAGATAATCCAATTTCTCAATACCTCGAAGAGGACTGCAATTGTGGAAATCGTTTCTCATAAATGATATTAAAACGGAAAGATGATAAGAAAAACTTACATTAAAAACGGCGAAGAAAAAAAAATTACACGTTTGATTGACGTGTTTTAAAATTGTTGTTACGATGTTTAATAACGTTAAAAATGTTGTTATGATTTCTTGTAACGGATCCAATTTACTCCGTAATAGTCTAAGCAAAAGTCAGGGTTTTAAAAATGCTGCGTTAACAGCAGTTTAAAATCTCATACTTTATAGTTATGAATTGTTTAAATGACTTATCATTTTTTATGTTTCGAATAAACTAAATATTTTTAAAAATTAAAATATATTAGACTTATTTATAAGTGCATAGAGTAATAACTCACTGCTGAAGAATTTTTTTAGCCTTATGTGAATAAAAAAGATAATTGTTCCATTTGCTGGCATTAAAAGACAATAAAAAAAAGTTTCTTGAGGAACACTTTATTTTAGGGTCGAACGGGGCATATAGGGAAACTTAAGAAACAAATCCTGGTCGCGCATAAACTAATCATAGTTACCACTGTTTTTTATAAATTTCCTAAAACTCGTAAATATGCGAAAACAAAAAAAGAAAAAAAAGTTTTTTTTTAATAAGCTACGACAAGCAAAATAACGAAAATCTAGACAAGCAAAGTTTTTAGATTTTGCAAGTTAAAAACAGCAGTTGTTCGTTAATTATAAAGCTTGAAAATGATTAAAAAAAAAAAAAAAAAAAATGAAGGCTATCATTTAAAAATGTTCAGACATTAACTCTCAAAAAAGTAACCCATACAAACTACACGCCCACAATAAAAAAAGAAAAATCATCAAAATAAAAAAAAACTTTTTTTGTATTTTTTTATAAAATACTCTTAAACAAACAAACTTAAGAAATCGTTCTAAAAATTAAATAGAGAAAAAATGCCAAGCAATAATGTCATTTGCTGCTAGATGCATATGTATGCACACAGAGGCGATTCTACGAATAAAATGAGGGCGAATGAACTCTTAAAAAGAGCCAATCAATTGGCTCCTAAAAAGAAAAAGAAAAAGAAAAAAAAACTCATCAAAACTAAAATTCACCCTACTGAAAAGTCTCAAATACTTGATAAGCAAACTATGTCCCTCAAAAAACCGGTTTGGAAACTTGAAAATCATCTCTTTTAGTGAAAGGAGAGGGTATACCCTTTTCCTCCCTTAAAATCATCTCTGGTTGTACATGTTATTTATAAATGGCCATAGACAAGTGGGGCTTAGGGGATTATAGCCTACCCACCCCCTACTTTTAGTTTTTGTTGCGCCTCTTATTAAATATACTTATAAAAAGTTTAAAAATGTTTATAAAACATATGTATAGTAATAAAAGTGTTTTTAAATATCAAATGAAAAATATTTCACAATTAAACAAATAATAAAAAGGAAAATGGAAAACATAAACGCACCGGATCTAAGCTTTTGTTTCTATGAAAACTTAGAACTCGTTGTATACTATACAACGAGTTCTAATAATTTATATTCAATAAAAAGAAATCATTAAAATATTGATTTGAACTCGCGTTTATTTAAAACAATTTTTTATTAATTCTGGCGATCTGAAATCAGAAAATTTATTGAACTATCATTTGATGCAATAAACGCTATTAGCGAGAAAGCATTCAGCTAAGAAAAATCAAAACAAGGTTAAGAAGTACCATAAACCAATCACGGCTGGTGTATGAACATCATAGGTATTTCCGATGATAGATGATAGATATAGCCTTCTGTAGCCAAAGTAAAGGCAGAAAAACTGTATTTAGACTATTTAAATAATAAATCCTAAGTTTACTATAATATTTTATAAAGATCTCATTCTATATAAATTTTTTTTTATAGACAAACTATGTTTACCGTTTCTAATTTTCTTTACCTTTTCGCATCACTTAGGCATTTGAAAATATTAAATGTGAAGGCCATATTTAACTTTATACCATAAAAAAATATTTTTAAATAAAAAATTATCACAGAAGTGTTACGTGAAATCTCGAGAAATTGCGTGAAAATTTAGGAAATAGTGCTACCAATCCGTTTAGTAACTTAATATCATAAATCGAATAGTATTTAGAACATTTAGAAATGTTCTAAATACTATTCGATTTATGTTATCGTATTTATAATATTTAAGCAATGTGCAACCAATGTACAAGGTACCTGTGCATGGGGCCGTAGATACACAGACCTCCTCTATAAACGTTTAATTCAAAGTTTAAAGTTTGTTAGATTTTTTTACTTAGAAAGATTTATGATGTCATTTTTATTTATAGAATTAGTTAAAGGATTTCTAATGTTACTTTGTTACTAAATATATATGCGAGACATGGTGGACAGATAAATTGGTAACTAATATTCCTGGGTATTGCTTATATAGAAATGATAGAGCCTTCGGAAAAGGTTGTGGAGTGTGTATATATATTCCTAAACATTAAACTCTTTTCAAAATTTAAAATACTGAACTTCAAAGTAACCTAATTGAACAGATTTGGTGTTCTTTAATCATTGGTAGAGAAAGACTTATATGCGGATGTATTTATCGTACTGGAGTTAGTGACATATACAACCGCTAAAAAAATTTTTATCATAAAGGGAACTACAGTAATATGAACAATTACTTAGATAAAATCAACTGGGATAAAATCTTTGAAAACTTTAACGCAGACGAGTGTTACAATAAATGTTTACAACATTATGATATGGCATGCATTCTATACATCCCACAATGCACTCTATACATCCCACAATGCATTCTATACATCCCAAAATCAAATAAGAATAAAATCAAAAGAGCACCTTCGCTTAATAAAAAACTAGCAGCATTGATAAAGTTGAAAATAAAACTGCGGAGCAAGTGCAGAATTTCCAAATTTAGAGACCAAAATTTATTAAGGAAATACAAAAATATCAATACAGTCACAAAAAAAATTGTAAAATCAACAATCAGAGAATATGAGTATGAAATTATTCATAAAGCCAAAGAAAATTCCAAATTGTAAAAAAACAAAAAAAAAAAAAGCAATATATAAACAGTATAACTAAAATCAATCAGAAAAAAAGTGCTATGGAAATGAAAAATGGATCAATATCGATAATTGAATAAGATATTACTAAAGTACTGAATAACTTTTTTCGTTCAGTTTTTCAAAAAGAAAACGACAATGTACCAACGTTTGATAAAGCATTACCTAAACCAATTGAAAATCCGGATATAAATATTGACACCGTTATTAAAAAGTTAAGTAAATTGAATGTTAATAAATCTACTCGTGAAGACAAAGTGCACCCGAGAGTTTTAAAGGAATGTTCTAATAGTTTTTCAACTCCATTGTCAATTATTTTGAATCGATCCTACTCAAATGGCATAATTCCGAGATTACGGCAGTGTGCAAATATTATCCTATATTTAAAAAAGGAGACAAATTGAAAGCAACAAGCTACCGTCCTGTTTTATTAACGTCTGTCGTATGCAAAGTAATGGAGAGTATAATAAGAGACGCTTTGATGGAACATCTAGTTGAAAATAAATTAATGTCTGATTCGCAGCATGGCTTTGTCCGTTGTAAAAACTGTTGCACAAATTTACTAGAGTCTTTAGATTTAACTACACTTTCTCTGGAACGTGGTTTTTTAATTGATTAGCATTTTTGGACTTCTCCAAAGCATTTGATACAGTTGCACACAAAAGATTATTGTAAAATTAAAAGCATATTGTGAAAATGAAGTTTTAGTAAATTGGTTTAAAGCATATCTGACTAATAGAATTCAAAGAGTTGCCTTTGGTATTTATAAATCAGAATGGAAGGAGAAAACAAGTGGAGTGCCACATGGCTCAGTAATAGGGCCGCTAATGTTTGTTATCTATAGTGATGATATATGACAAAAAATAAAAAATTGGTGTAAGTTGTATGTCGACGATACAAAAAGTATATTGGTGATTACAAATATCAACAATAACTATGCAATGCTAAAGGATTTATTGAACCTTAGTAAATGAAGTAAAAAATGGTTATTACACTTTAAGAACGAAAAATGAAAAATTATGCATATAGGGAAAAAACACCCTTGCTATAATTATTATATGAGCCAACCAACGAGCAATGAAAATCATTACACTATGATAAAAAAATCTATGGAACAAGATTTAGAGGTTCTTATATCTAATGATATAAAATGGAAAAATCATATAGGTATGATCGCAGGAAAAGCAAAAAGAATACTTGGTCAAATAAAACATTGTTTTATATACTTAGATAAAGACCTAATGAAACTGCTATATTGTTCGTTCGTTCGATACCATTTGAATTTGCTTCACCAATTTAAAATCCTTATTATAAAAAAGACATCATTAGAATAGAACAAGTACAACGAAGAGCAACAAGAATAAGATGTTTAAAAGGTACGAAATAAGTAGAACGATTAAAAGTATTTGGATTGGCGTCATTAGAAAAACAAAGAAAACGGAGTGATATAATAGAATATTATAAAATTCAAAATGACATTCATAAAGTATATTGGAAATACCCTCCAACAAATAACTTATATCCAAAATTAAGAGGTCATAATAAACGGTTGAAAAAACAAAATGTTCGTATTTCGGAAGCAAGAACGCATTGCTTAACTTATAGGATTGTTAATAAATGGAACAGTCTAACCTATGACGTTGTTAACTCTGTTAATTTAAATACTCTTAAAAATAAATTCTAAATAAAAATTGGATTGTTATTATTTTGTTATGATACAAATACGAAAGTTATTAAATACGAATTTCATTAGTATTTTTCATATTACTGTTAAAGTCACGCAACTACAGCTGAGTGACTAACATATTTTTTATATGTACATTTAACATTATTATTATTATTATTATTATTATTATTATATTAGAGTTGGATATATTAATTATATATTAATAAATATATTAATAGGATAATGAGAATTAATCTCACTTATACCGGATTAGTGAAAGTTCTAAAACTCGCCATAAATGCAAATGCAGACCGTACCATCCACACAGACTGTACAACTATTTGAAATAAAAAGCAACAACAACAATGTACTTACTAAAAGGAAGTTTTGAATACGTAAAAACAATACAATCGCGCTCTTTAAACCGACGTGTTTTGGTATTTTTTTCTTTGCATCCAAAGTTTATTTTTAGCATTATTCCAGGTTTTTCTTTAGTAATTGTTATGTCAATCTTTAAAAATAAAAGAACAACAACAAAAATAAAAACAATTAATAGTGAGTAGTTTTTTCGAATTCGTTTCTAAAATAAAACAAAATATACCTGATTAAGGTTTCTACTGCTTTTTTGAATTTTTATGAACGAGTTAAGTTGTTTTATGTTTTTTATACGTTTCCACGCGTTTTTCTCGTTTTCCCTATAATCAACAGTCTCGATGATGCTTCTACCATTACAAAATTCGTCATCCAAAAAGATTGTTAACGTTTTCAAATTTCTCCCAGCTTTTCCTGTCTTACTACTAATACCAACGTGTCTTAACGCACACTCTAATACAAAAAATGCCATAAAATAGAAATGGAGAAAAAAATAATGGCATTAAATATAGAATATAATTTAGTTGTAAAAAGAATCCGGTAATTATTAAAGTCATACTTGATATTGTATATACAGATTATATACTCGATATGTTAGATATACCCGATATACAGATTATATACTCGATATGTTAGATATACCCGATATACAGATTATATACTCGATATGTTAGATATACCCGATATACAGATTATATACTCGATATGTTAGATATACCCGATATACAGATTATATACTCGATATGTTAGATATACCCGATATACAGATTATATACTCGATATGTTAGATATACCCGATATACAGATTATATACTCGATATGTTAGATATACCCGATATACAGATTATATACTCGATATGTTAGATATACCCGATATACAGATTATATACTCGATATGTTAGATATACCCGATATACAGATTATATACTCGATATGTTAGATATACCCGATATACAGATTATATACTCGATATGTTAGATATACCCGATATACAGATTATATACTCGATATGTTAGATATACCCGATATACAGATTATATACTCGATATGTTAGATATACCCGATATACAGATTATATACTCGATATGTTAGATATACCCGATATACAGATTATATACTCGATATGTTAGATATACCCGATATACAGATTATATACTCGATATGTTAGATATACCCGATATACAGATTATATACTCGATTTATAGATTAAATCAACTCAATATAGTATATAAATAATAGTAATTAATATAGAAATAAAAATAATACTATAAAATTTGTGGTGCTTTGTTACATTACCATTAGAATTTTTTGCAGCTTAATAATAAAACAACTATAGTAATTGTAATAACAATAATAGTAATAATAATAATAATTAAGAATTAATTAAAATTAAGAAGAAGAAAAGGTTTATATAAATACATGCGCGAATGCAGCATTTTTTGATGTTTGAGATAACTTCCAGACATGGAGCAAACTCCCCAAATTTATATGTTTATACAAGGCACTTCAACATCTGAGCACGTAAAATCGATAATCGATAAAACACGGCTAAAAAAAAAAAAGCTGAGGTTTTATGCCGACAATATAGCTTTAGGTGTATGTTCTTCCATCGTTCAGCCAATGACTTAAAATACAATTACTTTTTATTTGTTTATTTCAAAAAGTACATTATCGGACAAAACAAGTGCAACCAAATACCGGTTTTTACATCCATTTAAAACAATCATGGCAACCATTTAAAACAACCATGACATTCATTTAAAACACCGCGACAATCAATTAAAACAATGTGCTTTTCAATTAAAACAATCGTGATTTTCAATTAAAACATTTAACGCATGCGCAATCTCAACATTTTATATTATTTTAAAAAAAAAAGTTTTCTTTATATATTTATTTATCTAATATTATATTAATTTATTTTTATTAATATTATATTAATTTATTTTAATTTAATGGAATTTATTTTAAATTTAAATGGATGTCGTGTTTGTTTTAATTGGATGCAAAACCATATTTTTTTACATATTTTTTATACACATACTGTATTGGCAAAACAACCATGATGTTCAATTAAAACATGCATGATGATAATTAAAACAACCAAGATTTCCTATTAAAATATTTAGCGCATGAGGATATTAGATTTTCATTAAAACATGCAGCGAAATTCTGTTTGCCAAAATACGCGAAAATTTGTTTTGAGATTGGTTGTTGATCGAAGAAAAAGTCAGTCTGAATCTTCATGCCGCGAAATTCCGTTTCCCAAAACATGCGAGATCTTGTGGTAAATCTAGTCGTTGATCGAGGAAAAACTCAATCTGAAGCTTCATCGTTAACAGGAGTTAATCGAAACACAATACAATCAATTTTAAGAAGGTACGATCGAACGAATTCAACACTTCCTGGTTCTAGTGGTGGCGCTCGTCACGTTATTTATAATGATTGTCACAGCCTTGCATCTTCGAGGCATAGATTCAATCAGGTGATCAATGAAACTTTGTGGAATCGCTGCCCAGGCCTTTTGGATTTGTTCAAACAGTTGATCCTTATTACGAGCACCTTTACGATTAATTCTGCGGTTGACGATCTCCCACAGGTTCTCGATAGGGTTGAGATCCGGAGATTGAGGCGGCCAATCCATCACCGATAGATGGTTGTTTTGAAACCACTGCTTGACTACTTTTGCAGTGTGTTTCAGATCGCTGTGTTGCTGAAAAATCCGTTTTATTGGCGTATTTCATTCAGCATGAGGTAACATACCATCTTTCAGGATATTTTTATACATGAAACGGTCTATTATTCCATCAATTCGATGTATTGGACATAGACCGTTAGCAGAAAAACACCCCCAGACCATTAAATTGCCTCCACCATGCTTCACGGTCTTATGGTAGTAACGTAAATCAAAGCGTTTTCTGCCCGGTCGACGTACACGGCAAATGCCATCGCTCCCAATGATGTTGAACTTCGATTCATCACTGAACAGGACAGTTCGCCATTTCTGCCCATTCCAGTCAATATGAGATGAAGCAAACAAGAGTCTTTTCTTCTGATTCTTTAGTGAAATCAGCGGTTTCTTTGCAGGGCGTCGAGAAAACAATACGGCTTCAACAGCACGTCGTCTGATTTTTCGGTCCGATACAGACATCTCTAATTGCTTTTGTATCTTGACTGATAATATCCAGGGATCCTTTTTGACGGTCATAGAATCCTCTCTAGAAGTGACGGAACGCGGTCTTCCACCTTTGTTATCTGCTGCCAACTTCCCTGTAGAACGATATTTGGAACATAATCTTAATACGGTCCATTTTTTACGCGATATTTATCACAAATACTTTTTTGTGACATTCCACTTACGTAATCGACAATAATTTTCTTTCTTAGTTTCAATCCAAGACTGTCGGGAGTCATTTTTGCACTTGAAGTCATAAAAATAATAAAAATAAATAATCACGCTTCTTAAGGCTTACCGTGTTACATTTACCTTGTGATGATACAACAATGCTCTGTGGAACACAACGTCTGGATACTTCCTTTAATTATTAAAAAACTTTCGTGACGTTGACACGGATCAGACTTCAGAAAATGAAACAAACCAAAAAAGTTGCACTTGTTTTGTCCGCTGCAAAATGGCACTTGTCAACGAAATTCTGCCTGTGTGCTGTCTACCTGTCATCTGGTTGCTCATGTCATGACATGCTATGACTCCAGACTCCTGAACTGTTTGCTGTGGTAGTATAGTTTGTTTCGTTTTTAAGACATGTAAAATTAGGAACACTTTTTAGCATTGTTTGATGTTGGTTGTAAATGTTTCATCCAATATTGCAGATCTACAGCTTAACAACAGTACCAAATTATTTTTTTTAGATTTTTATTTTTAGAGATAACTTGATTCAAAAATTAAGGTCATTTTATAACCCAAATATTTTTGAAAGTAACTAGCGTTTTTTTGATTCAATAAAAAAATTAATTATAGCATTATATGCCCTAATAGCATTATATGCCCTAATAGCATATAATTATAGCATTATATGCCCTAATAGTGTGCATATTTTTGAATTGTAAGCGTTGATCACACAAAAATATACCTCCCACCAAAATGTTAACTTTTGATTTAAATTTTTAGCACTTGTCAATTTTCAAGACGGAAATTTAGTTTTTAAAATTAGTTTATTGTTTTGGAAAACCCTTTATGCATTACCATTAAATTTTTTTTTTAAAAAGTACTGGCACAGATTTATTATGTCAAAGGTGGGTTGTTTCCTAGTCATTTAAAATTCCAGTTTTTACTGGTATTACATTCTTAGTTTTGAATAATAACGGTCTTGTTTATTGTTACTATTGTAAAAGAACGGAAACGTTGATGCGATTCTTTAAAACGTTAAATCGCTAAAAACCTCAAAAGTCATACAAAAAAAAATCTTAAATTTTGTGGTTTAAAAGTTGCATAAGTTTTTAACTAATAATAATATAACGATAAGTTTGTTATTTTTTAACTGTTAATGTTTAGCTCTAACTTATGGAGTTTGTTTTGTTTTGCTTTTATATTTATCAATAAATATTAAAATTCACACAAAAATCACTTTGCGTTAAATAATTATAATCTTATAAAATTTGCAACCCCTTCAAATTGAGGGAGATTCAACTTTTTATGATGTCTTCAAATTGAGGGGGACTCAACCCTTTGAGGGGGTTTGCAACCCCTTCAAATTGAGGGGGATTCAACTTTTTATGATCATATTTTTTGAGCGCTGAAAGATTATTGTGTGAATTTTAATATTTATCGATGAACTTGGTTTAGAATAGAAAAAAAATATTTTATCAGCTTGTTGCTCTAACGCTTGGGGCAGGTGTAGCAAAATTTTTAGGGCTTTTTTGTTGCTAGACTCCTATCATTACAATTTTTTACAAAGCATCCCTATTTTATATAAATATAAATATATAAATTTTGGGAGTTTGCTCTATATCTGGAAGTTAGGTATCTCAAACATCAAAAAATGCTGCATCCGCGCCTAATATAAATGTATCCTAATTTAAATATACATAACTTTCTTCTAATAATATAACTTTTTTTATGCGACTACTTACTTACCTTCAGTATCTTGAACTTTTACAAAAGATTTATCGTGCTCACTGACCTCCCATGAGTAGCTGTAAGACTCTTTACGAACTGTTTTAGTTGCTAATACAAGAGATATCAAAAGAAACCCGAGATAGAGCATTTGCATTTTATTTAAATATACACCTAAAGATTTAAGAAAATATACATCTAATGATCAATATTTAGTTTATATTTTAAAACATTTATTTTTTTATTAAAACTTGTAAATAAATATTATCAACATGCTATAACATATATTAGAATAGTTTCTATACTATTGTAACAACACAACGGTTTGCTATTTAATACAATAACGTTTTTAAAGTAGATTTAAACATTTTAACAGTTAAAAAAAAAATTAAAACTTTGCGTTTAGTCAAACATTGTTTAGCAGTTTAATTTTCTTAAAACTCATTATGTACCCATTATGAAATCATTTTAAAATCATTATAAAGTCGTTATACTACCACCAGAAAGTAATTGTTATTCTCCCACTTCTACTAATTATACTTGAAGGTAATTATTTAAAGTTGATTAATTGCAAATGGCTTTTGGCTATTTACATTTTTTTTAAACTCAACGCAAAATGAATATGGTAAATATGATATAAAAACTAAAATTAGATATAAATAAAAATTAATTAATTTCTTCATAATTTGTTAATAAAAGATGCAACTTGAAATAATTCAATATATAAAAAATTAAAAAACTTAAAAACTTAATAAGCTCCAAAAAACTTAATGAAAAAATAAAAATTCAAAAATTTAAAAAAAAAGAAAAAGTTATTTTTATTATTTTATTAGACTAATTGCTTTAAATCTAAAACTATTTAACTACGATATTACCCTGGTGTTAATGGTCTTAGAAAACTGAATGATAACATACTATTCACAGTTAGTCTTTTAAGTCAATCATTAGGTTATCAAGCTATTTATTTATTTATTTGAATAAATTGCAAAACATGTTAATTTGTCGTTGGAGCAATATTTCCAATTTCAAATTACATGTCATTTGCATACATGATTTATTGAGATGTCATTTACACACATGGTGTATTATAATGTTATTTAGACACATGATGTATTAAAAGAAGAAATGGCCATGTTAAACAAGGTTAGCTAAACTGGTTTCAGGTCTTTACCATCTACCATCATTGTCCCTGCCATCTACCAATGTTTGATGTACTTGAATAAAAAAAAAATACTTTTGATTTAACTTGTAATCTAATGAAAAGGTCGATATTATTTTAACATGAACCTCCTCAGTTCCAAACTTCAAACCCAGTTCCAAACCTCAAACCCAGTTCCAAAGTTTAATAAGTTGTTCAGTCTGATTTTTAATCGTAAAACCGTAATTCTTTGTTAAGAAAAGCTCTTTGTAATCATCATATTTTTGTAGCCATAAATTTTATGAAGTGTAAAATTCAATTTCTAGTTTAGTTAAATCTGTTTTTAATTTAATTTTTGCTCTGTAAACTCTGTCCTTATGTGGACTTTTCCTTATGTGTAAAACTAAAATGCCCCATGTTTCTTTGTTTAGAATTTAATTTTTAATCATTTCTTGTTTGATATAATAATATGGTGTTTAAATTGTTAAATAAATATGTGACAATATTTAAAATATGTTAATGTTTTACATATTTTATATATATATAGGGGAAAGCGGGGCAACATGGCGAATGTTTTAAAAGGCCTGAGTTATTGCAAAACTATAGTCGTGAAGCAATAACACTTTCTGAGTATGTTTATGTTATTAAAATAATTTATTCCCTGCATAAATTTTCCGTTTGCAAATATAACAATTTGAAATAAATATTAAAATAAAAAGTTCATAAATTTGTCATCTGGTCACGTGACCGGGGAGAATTCACGTGACCCATTCGCCATGTTGCCCCACTTTTCCCTATATATATATATATATATATATATATATATATATATATATATATATATATATATATATATATATATATATATATATATATATATATATATATATATATATATATACATAATATGTAAAATGAATTCATATGAATTGACATATTCCTTTTCAAAATTATTATTGATTTTTTTTTTTTGATTATTTAAAATAAATATTTCTAGTTGCAATACTGAATATTGGTTTGTTATGTTTTATTGTAAGTTTCACTTCTGAAGTATGTAAAGTATTAAGTTTGTGATTTATTTAGTGATATATATATATATATATGTATATATATATATATATATATATATATATATATATATATATATATATATATATATATATATATATATATATATATATATATATATATATATGTATATATATATATATATATATATATATATATATATATATATATATATATATATATATATATATATATATATATATATATATATATATATATATATATATATATATATATATATATATATATATATATATATATATATATATATATATATATATATATAAAGGATGATTGCAACTGTTCCAAAGAAATATACTCAGAATTAACTTTTGATGAATTCCAAATTGCCTTCAAATCACTAAAAAAAAAAAAAGCTATTGGAGCTGATGGAATAAATGGTGACATAATTATCGAGTGTTTTGATCATCTCAAAAATATTCTTTATAAAGTTTATAAATCATCTGTCCACCAAGGAGTTTTTCCTGATCGTCTAAAAATTGCAAAAGTTATTCCAATTTTGAAAGAAGGAGACTGTTGCAATATCAGTAACTATCGCCCTATATCTATCCTTTCTACCTTTTCAAAAATCTTAGAGCGTATTATGTACAATAGAGTATACAATTATCTTGTCTCCAATAATCTTTTTTATTATAATCAATTTGGTTTCAAAAAAAATAATTCTACCAAACATGCAATCATTCAGTTTGTACGAGAAATCTCAAATTCCTTTCAAAGATCCCAATATACATTAGGTGTTTTTATTGACTTGTCGAAGGCTTTTGATACTGTTGACCATGAAATCCTTGTTGAAAAACTAAAATACTACGGATTAAACTATATAACTATAAAATTTATTAATAACTATAACCAGCCATCTACTAAATATTTCCTGTGGTGTTCCCCAAGGCTCTATCTTGGGGCCACTTTTGTTCTTAATCTATATAAATGACTTAAATAAAGCCTCAAACTTAATGAGTATCATGTTTGCCGACGACACCAACTTATTTCTGACCAATAATGACATATCCAAACTCTTTTCTACAATGAATGATGAACTCAAAAACATATCTACTTGATTCAAATGTAACAAGTTAACTCTTAACATTAATAAAACCAAATGGGTTCTTTTCCATTCACTCTCTAAAAAACGCTATTTACCCCAACATTTGCCCAAAATATTTATTGATAAAGTTGAAATAAAAAGAGATTTTGTTACTAAATTTTTAGGAGTGGTTCTCGACGAGAACATTACATGGAAACCGCATATAGAACATATCTGCTCAAAAATATCTAAAAGTAACGGAGTCTTATATAAATCTAGATCATATTTAAACAAAAAAAGCCTTAACCCAACTCTATTATTCATTTATTCACACCTATATTAATTATGCCAACATTGCGTGGGGAAGCACCGAAAAAAGTAAGCTAAAATGCCTTTTTCGCCGTCAGAAGCATGCGATCCGATTGATTAATTTTACAGATCGTTTTACTCATTCCAAACCATTATTTATGGAGATGAAAATACTTAATATTTACGAGCTCAATGTTTATAACATTTTATGCTTTATTTACATGTGGAAAAACGATTTAACTTTACCTGTCTTTAAAAACCTTTTTTCTCTAAACCCAATTAATAAATATTTACTTAGAAATAAAAATTTTGTACATGAACCTATTTGCAGAACAAAATTTAACAAATTTTGCATTACATTTCGAGCACCCTATCTTTGGAATAAAATTGTTATACCTAAATTTGATATATCCAATACATTTCCGATCTTTAAAAGTAAACTTAAAAATTTTGTTTTATCTATTGATGATATATTTAAATACTTTTTATAACAATCACGTATTTGTCTTTTTAATTGTAAGACTGTTGTATTTTCTCTTGCCTTTTAAAAAAAGAGATGTATTACTGTATTTACTATGTATATATATGTATTTATATATTTACGTTTTTATAAGATCTGATGATATGATCAGACTTTTTATTATATATAACATTAGTGGTTTGATTTATATTTCCAATTTATATCACGATTTATTGTAATTTTTTAGTTTTGTTTATGTATTGATTTTAAAAAAATTGTAAAAGGTTCTGATGATAAGGTCATTACGATCTTCTTTCAGAAGCCTTGTCTGTTTATCTTTGTAAACAACGAAAAAATGAAACAAAAAAAAAAAACAAAAAAAAAAAAAAAAATATATATATATATATATATATATATATATATATATATATATATATATATATATATATATATATATATATATATATATATATATATATATATATATATATATATATATATATATATATATATATATATATATATATATACAATGGCGTAGGAAGGTCGCAAAAGTTGGGGGAGGGGGGGGGGCTGAAAACATATATTAAAAAGGGAAATGTTCCTCAATTTTGTATGAGACAGCAAAATAGATGAAAATAATCTATTCAATTATTTATCACACGCAACGTGATAAATATCTTTTTAACGTGATTAGTCATCTTTTGCCAGCAAACATTCATTTAAAAAAATAGTTAATATGCGATCGTATCTTAAACAGTTTTATGGATTTACTTTTCCATCGTGATATTTAATTTTGATTGAGTCATTGCAGACTAGAAAGTGAAGAGGAGAATGGAGGGGGGCTAAATTAAGTGTCTGTCCCCCCATTATTTTAGTTGGGAGTGGGGGGGGGCGTCTTTCGCTTCCTTCGCCCCCCTGTTCCTACGCCAGCATATATATATATATATATATATATATATATATATATATATATATATATATATATATATATATATATATATATATATATGTATATATATATATATATATATATATATATATATATATATATATATATATATATATATATATATATATATATATATATATATATATATATATATATATATATATATATATATATATATATATATATATACAAAGAATTATGG